ATCATTAATTTATATTACAAGGCTATTTAAAAAAAAAATATCATTTTAGCGAGTTGATGATTACCTAATCATCTCACCTTAATTCAACACTTCCTTTAATTCAACCGAAAGCTCTGATCCCTTGGGGTGTTGAATTAATGAGGTTCGACTGTATTTCTAAAAATTAATTTCATAGAATACTCTTTTTTTTTTTTGGTGAAATTAAAAAAATAAAATCTTTTAATGACATTGACTTTTTTTTAGCTTCTTATACCAAACATCGTTAAGTGTTTTAATATATATTTTGTAACGACATTTTTTTTTACAATTACTAAATCTCAAGTAGGTTTTTTTTTTTATTACTTTAGCTAGTCAATAGATAATTTTATGTTAGAATTATTATTATTTTTTAATGAAATTGTTCAGAGAAAAGAATTTACTCATAAAAAAAAATGAATTTTTATAAAAGTGAACCTTTAGTACAATTTTAAAAACATGTCATTTTTAAAGCACAATTTGGATTATAGATTATAATAAAAGAAAATAAGACTTAATCCAATTATTAATGTGTGACGTTTTGGCAACAACATTGTCACCATCATCAGACAAAAGAATAAAAATGTATAATAAAAGAAAATAAGACCTAATCCAAATAATTTATTAGTGTGTGACGTTTTGGCAACAACATTGTCACCATCATTAGACAAAAGAGTAAAAATCCTTATTCTTTTGTCTGATGATGGTGACAATGTTGTTGCCGAAAGGTCAACACTAATAAATTATTTGGATTAGGTCTTATTTTCTTTCATATCATCTTTCTAAGTCGCTTTCTGTGTATCTTTCCATGTTGAATATTTTCTTTGTTATATTTGTATGTACATTTAGCGCAAGTGTCCCTAGGGGGACATAGCGTTTTGAATTGAAATAAATAAATGTCATTTTTATTTTCAATATCTAAAATGATTAGTTCTTCAAATAAAAGACACTTCGTCCAGTAAATATTTTTTATTGTCTCTCTTTGCATACTTGATCATAGTCTTTTCTAGTTTCCTTGTCATCTTGAATACCTCAGGACCAAAATTGGTCTTGATTATCTCATAGCCTTTAATTGTCTTTAATTTGAAGAACTATGAATGCCGGCCAGGCAGCCTCTATCTTTACGTTTATCTAAAATGATATGTAACAATTTGGATTATAAATTATAAATACAAG